TCCCATCCCATCCCATCCCATCCCCATCTCCATCCCCATCCCCATCCCCATCCCCATCCCCATCCCATTTTCTTGTGCAATGACTTGCTCTGATGTTTTCATGCCCACCTTTAGTGTGATCCCTATGTGAAGATTTCAGTGGGAAAGAAATCCATAAACGACCAAGAAAATTACGTCCCCTCTACGCTGGAGCCTGTCTTTGGAAAGTAAGTTCTGGTTCTCCATGGATTTCGTGAGGTTTCTGTGTCCTTTTGAGGGAATAGAGCTGGGCTCTGGCCAGAGCTTCGCATGCCCTTCCATGCTCTTGGCTCTCAGTCTGACCCCCCAAACTACTTGATGTCATCGTTCACCCCATGGTAGTTTGGATAACAAGCGAAAAATAAGGTTGATTTCAGAAAAAGGAAATTCCTTAGGGCTGGAAGGCACCGTGGGGAGCAGGCAGAGCCTGGTGGTCAACCTCCACGTGCCTGTAGGGTCTTGAAGAGCTGGGACTGGTTGTATAGGGCGTTGTGTTTCAGGATAGTGGTTCAAACAATCACAGAATGGCCTGGGTTGCAAAGGAGCACAGTGCTGATCCAATTCCAACCCCCTGCTGTGTGCAGGCTCACCAACCAGCAGCCTCAGGCTGCCCAGAGCCACATCCAGCCTGGCCCTGAATGCCTGCAGGCCCTATGGTGTGTGAGGTCCAGCTGGCCGCCTCGGGGTCTCAGCAGCTCAGGCTGTCAGTGCTGTGTCTCTTTCTCCCCCCCAAAAAAAGAGGGGGAGTGGGATGGACACCAAAGGCAGTGAGCAAAAAGGATGAGGATGGCAGCGGGGATCGTGGTGAGGGCTTGGAGGACTCCATAGGCAGACAAGTTCTCTCCTCTTTGACTGAACAGAGAGGGCAGCTCTGTTTTCCCAGGGGGCGGAGAGGGGCACGTCCCCTGTTGCAGCAGCTGGCTCCTGGCCATGGGCCGTCTAGACGGCGGCCTCACCTCCCACCCAGCCTTTACAGCGTGGTGTAACAGCGAGGTCCCGGCTGCTGGCGGCTGTTAAACCTCCCTTTTCATGAGCTTTTTCCCCCTGGCTGCCTTCCAGCTCTCGCTAATTACTTTCTGCTGACCCCCAGCTCCTCCCGCGCTCTTAATTGGTGGCATAATGGCTCACTTCCCTTCCTTAAAGGCTGCTGTGGGTTGGTTGGGGGCTGCAAAGTGGAGGATCCTGGTGGTGCTGGGAGAGACCCCGGCTGTCCTGTCGCCCTGCGTCCTTTCCCCATCCTTAACACCCGTGGCCAATGGCTCTGTTTGCATTGGAAGTCATGCTTTGGTAGGGCTTTGGTACTTTGTCTTTTATCACCCTGTATTTGAAGAGGGAGAGGAAGGTTTGCTGTGTGTTACGTTGGTGTAGCGATGGCAGAGGAGACAGCACAAAATACGGTGCTTGGGACCAGCAGAAGAGGGTGAGGAGGCTTTGGGGATGGCCCATCCCATGCTGACCCTTATTTCAGATTTATGCCCTTTGGGCTCAGAGAGGAGATGGTTTTCCAAAGCTCCCAGTCTCACCCCGTGGCCACGAGGGCTCTCAGTTCCTGCTCTTTTCCCCTGCATGTTGCAGTGGCTGCACCAAGTAGCAGATGGAGAAACTAAGGAAGACCAAAGGTTGCTCATAGTTGCTTGATGGCATCTCCAGCAGTGAAGGCAGTGCAGCGCAGCACCGATAGAGTTGTAGAGAGAGCTAGGTTGGAAAAGACCTTCAAGTCCAGCCTTCACACCAACCCACGGGGCAAAGATGTGCAGTGGTGGCACCTTCCTGGTGGGGCAGTTTGGTTCAGCAGCACAACCCCCATCCCGTGGACATCTATGGTCTGATTTTCGGGTGGTGCTGCTGTGCGGAGCCAGGGTTTGGACTTGATGATCCTTATGGGTCCTTTCCTACTGGAGGCTTTCTGTGGTTCGCTGATTTCTCTGTTCCCGTGGCGTAGGATGTTCGAGTTGAGCTGCACTCTGCCCCTGGAGAAGGACCTGAAGGTCACACTCTACGACTACGACCTCCTGTCCAAGGATGAGAAGATCGGGGAGACCGTCATCGACCTGGAGAACCGGTTCCTGTCGAAATACGGGGCACGCTGTGGGCTTCCCCAGACCTACTGCGTGTGGGTATCTCTGCAGGCCGTGGAGCTCCACAGCTGCTGAGGCTTTGTGGTGCCCAGGTGACCCTGGGGCAGTTCCTCAGCCCTCGGGGTGATGGGTGCCCTGCTTTCAGCTGGGTTGGGTCTGGGGGGCTGTTGGGGCGCTCAGCGGACACTGCTGGGACGCGCAGCCCCTCTCACCGACGGGCCCCTCGTTGAGGTTGGAGGTTCTTTGCCCTGTGCTGAACTGCTGCTTTCTCCTATTTGGTTCCAGCTCTGGGCCCAACCAGTGGCGAGATCAGCTCCGTCCCTCCCAGCTGCTCCACCTCTTCTCCCTGCAGCACCACTGCAAGGCTCCCACCTACGCGTCCGACCGGCTCATCTTCCGCGAGCAGGAGTACATCCTCTCCGAGCTGGGTATGGGGCTGCTGTGGGGCTGGGGGTGGATTCCCTTCACCCAGAGCAGGGGGTGGTGTTTGGGGTTGAACCCAAACCTCCCATTTTTTCACTCTAAGGCTGAGGATGCACTGGCACAGGTTGCCCAAGGAGGCTGTGGATGCCCCAGCCCTGCAGGCATTGGAGGCCAGGCTGGATGTGGCTCTGGGCAGCCTGGGCTGCTGGTTGGTGACCTGCACACAGCAGGGGTTGGAACTGGATGAGCACTGTGCTCCTTTTCAATCCAGGCCATTCTATGATCCACCATAACCACAGCCTCAGCCTTCCCCTGAGGGGCTGGGAGCATCATGCCCTTGGTGACAAGCTCTAGCCCAGGTTGCTCTATCAGCCCATGTGATTTGGGGCTGGGGTCGCTAGGGGGAGACCATATCCCACACAATGCCAGCGTGCTGCAGCTCACACCTTGAAGGAGATGCCACCCAATGCAGCAGAGACGTTCTTTTGCTTTGCTCCAAAAGCCCACAAACGTGAATGCCTGAAATTCCCTGAGCATCCACTGGTGCCCATCCCATAGGATCCAGAGGCAGAAGGAAGGGCAGGTGGGGCTCAGGGTGGAGGTGGGACCTCCCTGGCCAGGCCCAGGAGCTGCACTTTGGGCAGCACGGCCCAGGGCTGATGCCCACCTGTGCCCTGGGATCAGGGCACAAATCTGTGATGCCGGCACAGGAGGAAGCCAGGGTTCCTTCAGAGCCTTTTGTTAAGTGAAAGGCTTTCAGAGAGGGCTGGGGAGGTGTTAAGCGAGTGGGGTCTTCCCCCCTCTCCCAGCCCCTGCCTTTCACCTTCCTCTGCTTTAATGGCAATCAGTTCAAAAAAAAACAGAACAAAGTCTGATGCTTGACCTCGAGGAGATCTGGAAACCAGCTGTGTGTGTGGAGCGGTGTCAGATCTGAACCTGGTGGTATAAAGTGAGGCTATTAAACACGAGAGCATGGATTTTACAAGCCCTGCAGCCGAACCGTTATTCCATAACCCCCACATTTGTTGTTTTCCGAGAGGGGCTTTTTCTTTTCCTGCATGCACACACACACACACACACACACACACACATACCAGGTTTCCACTGCTTGGGAAATGGCCCATCTGTCTGAAGTTAACCACTTCAAGATCTTGCCAAGAAAGGACCTGGGATACATCACCTGAAGGTTGCAGAGCTGCAGCAGTATTTATGGAACGCATTTCATTTCAAAGGTCCTCAAAGGTGCACGGCCCTGAAGTGCTGTGGCTGTGAGCAGCCGTCCTGGTGAGGTCCTACAGCTGTCCCAGCATGGCCGTGGGGACCAGGACCCACCGTCCTCTCCCTTCTGAGTGTCACCTCAAACCCAGCAGAGCAGGATGTTGCATGGAGCTCATCTCATCACCCAGCCAAGGACCTTGGCTGCTTTTAGATTGTAGAGCTGTGGAGTTGGGAAGGGTCCCACCCATCCTCCCATCCTCCCATCCACCCATCCACCCATCCACCCATCCACCCATCCATCCATCCATCCATCCTCCCATCCATCTTCCCATCCATCTTCCCATCCACCCATCCATCCATCCATCCATCCATCCATCCATCCATCCATCCATCCA